TGGGGATGAATTACTATATGGGGGATGAATTACTATATGGGGGATGAATTACTATATGGGGGATGAATTACTATATGGGGGGATGAATTAAATTACTATATGGGGGATGAATTAAGTGGGGGGGATGTATGGGGGATAAAATTACTATATGGGGGGGGGATGAATTACTATTGGGGGATGTATTCTATATGGGGGATGTATTTTCATTTTTTTTTTAAAAATGTGGCTCTCAAAATAAATTTCAATAGTGGTTTTGGCGAGATTTGGCTCAGTTGAAAAAAAAGGTTGCCCACCACTGGCCTAGGCGATCGGACCAGAAGTGGGAGCGGGTACCTGTCAAATTCGGTACCCCCCCCCCAAAGGTGCAAATCCTTTATGGGGAGTGGGGGGAGCAGTCCTTAAAGTTCCCCTTTTGGGTAGAGCTCCACTTTAAGGTTGCATTCCTTTTTGCCATCACCCCTGCAAAGTGAATGACCTGGCAGCCTTTTCCTGTAAAGGACCCATTTTGGTCTTACACATTGGCAAGGTGGTGCTGAGGCTCAGAACTTCTTTCCTACCTATGGTAGTTTTGGCTATCGACCTCAGCAAGGACATTGTTCTTTTGTCCCTCTATCTGACTTCAGTTCACTCTAAAGAGGTCTTTCTCTGTTGCCTGGATGTTGTTTGTGCTGCGCATGTCTAATTTGCAGCCACTGAATCAGAAGTCAGTCCAGTTCTCTAGTCGATCTTTATTGGCTTTTAGATTTTAACATTTTACAGTTTTGCACCTTGACTGTTCTCACACATCCTAACACATTTAAACACTTTAAAATGAGTAAACAAACAGCCTTTTTTTTATTGATTCAGCCTTATGCCCTCTGTAGTTTTATTAGACCACTTTGTGCTATTATTCTCACATTTCATATATAGTCGCTAAGAAAATAGAGTAATGTCTGCATGGATATTCACGGGATGAATTTAGTGTGATTTGTACTGTTAAGGTATATTACGTGTGGAACTAAGAAGCAGTTAGAATACATTTCCTGTTCTTTATTGTTACTAGGCAGACATATAAGACATACAAAGATGTGAATAATGATGTATATATGCCACAGATACTGATTTGACTCTTTCCTAGACATAAACTTTTCTTTACAAGACATGAAAATAGTTTGACGGATTAGAGTCTATTAGTTTGATTAAAATGTTCTTTTTTTAATTTCACTCAACGCAATTCTATTGCCTCTAAAATATTCATCCATATATTGATTAGTAATAGTAACAATTCATTCCCTTAGATAGACATAAGCATAGTGGTGGAGGTGACCTGTGTCTAACTCTAAAGCTGGCCATATGCTAGTAGAATTTCATTTGGAATGTTTTGTTATTAAGAATGCTTATCAAAGCAACGGTCTTTTTCGACTGCGGTGACAGTGAAATTGGTATTCATTTGGGAAAGTCCATTCATTTCATAATCGAATATTAGAAGCAAATTCAATTTTCAGTGTACTTTTTAAACAACACTAGTGTATGACCAGCTTTACTTTCTCCACTCCTAAACCTAGGGGGTTCAGCCAGGGACGGACTGACCAGTTAGAAACTCAGGCACTGCCCGGGGTCAGTAGGGGGCCCCATGAGATGCCCCTGGTACCTTTTTCATAGGTTTTTTTTTGAGTTTGGGCAAGGACACAGGGGCCCCATGAGTTGTCAGTCCACCCCTGGGTTCAGCAGTTTACTGCAGCCTGCCTCTAAAAGTCAACGGTTCACATCACTAGTTGCTTTACTGCTCAGTAAGATGAATAGTTTACTTCTTAGGAAAAAACAATTATTGTTACTATTTAACAAAGAAACAAACAGTTATATTGTGTATAGTTTAAGTCCAAATCACCTGGCTATATTTGCTGGGTCGTTATATGGATCTGTAGTAAACTGTACTTTGTATCCATTATCTAGTGTCTTTTGGAAGGCACAGATTATAGGGTAATCTACAATGTTTTTTTTTTCTCTAGCTTTATTGTAACATTTAACTATTTAAATTTGGTGGTCTTTTCACCTCATTACCAGAAGCTCTTTCCTGGCTAATGATGTTGTAGTTATAAGACTTCTAACCATGCAGATCTGGGTGCTATTTTCTACTAACGATGCAGGCTGATCATTTGCTGTCTCGCCTGTTCTGCTGCAGGCCCAGAGGACACTTCAGGTGCCTTTCAGGTCTTACACTAAATCCCTTCCAGCCCCCTGATCCAGGCTCCCTCAAAGACGTTCAACGTGCAGCCTCTCTGAATAAAGCTGAATTCTCTGCCACTATTTCTGATCTGTTCTCCAGTTCTAGAGTCTGTGGGTGCTTACAGCCATAAGCACTCTTCTGTCACTGCTCCCACTGATTATTTTTATGCTATACAGTCTAAACTGCCTGGCACACTTCTTTCTTATGGATTCTTAACATTTTATTGAAGGCTGCTGAAGATTAGCTATCAAAATTGTGTGAAGTTGCTACTTCAGCTTCTCACCACATGCTGGCTACTGTGTGTTCGTTAATTCAGGCAGTGCATACGAGTCTCTGGTTAGACACACTTAGTGCCTCACATCTCCCACATATTCTCATGGTCACAAATAAGAAGGCTGTTCCTAGAAGCCCTTCCCTGTTCTTGGTCAAACCGATTGGGCCTTATACAATGATTGACCCAACTCCTCCTGAAAATTATGATGGCTATAGAAGTGGAATTTAAGAAAAAATGGACTGTTCCTACTGGTTTAGGTGAAATCTTCCTCATCCGATGCCACCACTCCCACCACTACAATCTTCCGTTGTGGTGGGGGATAATGGAACTGAGGGAGCTGTGACAGGCACTCATCAAGAGTGTTCTACTATGCCCGTCTTTTCTGTCCAGCTCTTCCATCCATAGAAGCTTTAATATAGCTACTCTGAATGAAACATAACCAATGAATGGAGAATGGGTAGATGGTTGCAAGGTCTTTCTCCTCCATTCATAGATCACATTTGTCAAAGACTCCCTACATCTTTCAGTGGTCGCCCTTTATTTACCCAATGCCATTCAAAAATGGCATTGGATAAATAGCTGTTGGACAACCAATCCACACATGATTGACCCAATTGCAAGAATGGCCACATCTACAGTAGGAACAGTCCATTTTTTCTTAAATTCCACTTCTATAGGGTACAAGCCATCATAATTTTCAGGGGGAGTTGAGTCAACTAGTACTGTGTACCGAGCTATGACTGGTCATCACAGCAATCACATGGTACTATTTACAGTGTTGATCCATCCTTTTCCCTTTACTGCAGGAGAAAGAGAGAGATTGTGTTCTTATGAATGGGCACAAAGTGAATGGATCAGCAGCTGTAGATTTATTCATTCTGTTTCAGTGACACACAGATCTTTTTTTTTTTTTTTTAGACCTTTCATGCCCCCTCCTCTCCTACTGTATACATACTATCTCCATGCTGTCTCCACTTGACCTGAGTATTAACCCTTTTGACTCCCCTTATCCTGTATGTCTTTAACCCCTTAATCTCCATCCTGCCAGTGTATATGACCAAAAATGTAAAATTGGGGCTTCTACTTTCAAAAAATGGTAATTTGAAGGATTTTCATACTATTGTGACATTTTAATTTGAACAGAAAATAAGAAAAAGTTTTTTTCAAAATTTTTGGTATTTATCCTTTTTATAGTATAAAATAAAACAACAGTGGTTATTAAACAGCGCAAAAAATGTTTTATAAAAAATGATATAAAAGTTGTTTGGGTACATTGTTGCAGAGTAATTGTCAGTCAAACTATAACAGCCCTGAAAAATGTTCTTGTAATGAAGGGGTATTACAGGCTGGTACTCAAGTGGTTAAAGAGAGGTTAGCTTATGTTGGCTTTGTTCCTTTTTTTCTGTAGGACTTTAAGGGTGACATTCAGACACGTTTTAGCAACAGTTTTAGCACTGACATATGGTCTTTAACATGCGGTTATGCACTGCAATGATTGTTTAACACATGTTGTAATGCATTTTTTTATTACTTTTTTTCTTTTTTTGTAACTCAATGCTTTTACCATGCACTGCAGCACATTGTGAAGTGTTGTGGTGGGTCAGAAAGCACTGCATTGCACATAAATTATACATGTCTTGTTCTATCCAAGCACACTCAGCGCATGGTTTATTAAAAGAAAAAAAAAAGGGTTACTGTAGTAACAGAAGTAATGAGCAAAATGTAAGTATTATTGAAAGCAAGATTTGAGCAAATTTCACCAGAAGAAGTCATTTTCATTCTTTCCAGTGAATCAAACTTTCAGCCATCATCTCAGTTGTAACTAGTATCAGGCCCTAGAGTAGACATGTGCGTTTCATTTCATTTGTTTTTTCAGACGAAAATTTCATTTTCGGAGATTCAGATTTATCTCTCCAAATGGGCATAGAACAAGCTTCTACGAATCCAAAAAATAGTTATAACAAAATTAACAAAACCATTTGTTTCATACGGATGACGCCACATGATGCAATAGTAGTTCAGACCCATGGGGAAATTAATTCAATTTTCAAATTTGTTTGATGATTCGGATAACGAATGTATCCGAATTTCATTCTGTTTGTTAATTAGGATGCATATGACGCCAGTCGATATTGTCCAATCAGCTTATGCCATTTTTTTTGGCGAGTTGGACTGATGTCCAAAAACATTGAATCTTTCCGTTTCGATAATATATCAAATATATCGCAATCTTACAGAAAACTGCAAAATTTTTCCAGTCCACCCACAAATATACGAAACGAATGCCAAAGATATGAAATGAATTCAGCATTACGAATGACAAAATTAAATTCTTCAAGGAACCGATCGGAATTAAAAATAGCTGGTTTGCACATGTCAAATCTAGAGCGTTCAAAATAATAAGACAGAACATTTTTCCAACAATAAACGTGTTTTGCAGTATTACAGCAATATTAAAATACCATATTTATGTTAAAGAAAAAAGTGAATACATTTTTCAAATTGTTTTTCTTGACACAGCTATGAATATGAAACTGGACGGGATTCAGCCTTGGAAATGATAGCATTTCTTTTCCAGACATTCCCAGAGGTAAGACTTGTGATTCAGGTTCATAATGTTTCTGTTGACCTCTGTGTAGCCCCAACCTTTTCACTACTAGAGCAAAATGTTTTCACTGCATTTGGCTTTCATCTGTTCTCACAGTTTGTCGATCAAATAAATGTTCTATTTATTGGATGGAAATAAAACTCCTTTTAAGGGAGCTTAAAATGTACAGTTGAAATTATTATAGCAATGATTTATAATATGCACAGCTATCAGTGTGACAAGTCTCTGTGCTTTCAGATAGCAGTGAGCAAAGCACTCCTGATGATGAAAGGTTTTATTTGTGAATATGTAATATTACAGCCATAACTATAAAACATATACTTTTTCCCTCTTAGCAAATGCTTAACCAGTTCTGTGGTCTCATGTTTGTCCCGCTTGCTTTGATGATGGTCAACGATGACTCTACAAAGTGTAAGAAAATGGCTGCCTTGGCAGCAAAATCTCTTCTTAGCAAAGTCGACAAAACGCAGAAAGACTTGATGTTCTCATTGCCTACCCAGTGGCTCAACAATGAAAAGGTGAGCAAGTGACATAACCAAATGTATCTCTGCACAGTTTAAAGAGAGTGTTGGGCTTTTGTGTCTGTGCATTTTTTTTATTAGCCCAGCTTTGTGTGCCTGCAGTAACTCATGATGAGTGCTCTGTTTTTGTGGCTTATTGTATGAAACAGCTAGATTTTAACACTAGGTCCAAAAAAAAAGCATCAGCTTTAAAAACAGTTTACTAATTTTATAATGCTTCCCATCAATCTTTTCCTAATCCATTCTTTTTATACTGATAACCCCACAGTTATCTGCTTAAAATTTTCATAGCAATTACATCCCTACAAAATATTTTGTAATGTACAGTCTTCTTTCCTTTTCTGCTACAAGCAGTGTAGGGCAAGGTTCATACCCCTGCTAGGTGCTTACCAGTCTCTGGGAATTGAACTGGGACTACTCACTTTACAAAACAAAACTTTTGGCATGCCAAGCTTCGGTGGGAACCACAGGCTCAGTAAGGATAGTCTGATATCCACTGCTTTACACCACACGTGAACCAGTGGTGACCAGTATGTCATGTATTGTGTCGAAGTTCCCAGGCATGCATAGGGAAAAATGGCAATAGATGTAAATATGAATGTGACAATAAGCCACCATTTCCCTTGTGTGGACTGCAAAGACTTCCTTATAAAATGCACCAAACAAGGTAACAACTTGAAAAGCCAGGCCACATATAACAGCCAGTGAGTCCAAAATTAAGTAAACAATGATGATCTTCTTTATTGATTAAAAATAAAAGTCACTTACGTAGGAAGACATCTCACTCCAGCTGGTGTAACAGTATTGCTGTTCCATGCAAGCTACCATGACCACTCCAACCATGGCGGACCAGAAGTGATGTTTCAGGACACAATACTGCATGGATGCTTCTGGGTCTGCCAAGCTATGTTGGTCTGCAGAGCAAAGTCAAGGGTTTGACAAAGAAGCAGGGATCGCATTAAACAAATTCCACAGGCTGGTTGTATTGAAGTCAATCGATGGTTCCTGCTGAAATAGTCAAGATTCAATCCATCTATGGCTAGTTTTTACTATTGGAATCTTCTTTCAGACCTTTGCTCAGACAGGGGGAAGGGCAGGCTCCACTCTGTTGCAGCTAGGCTAACATACAGTTAGGTCCATATATATTTGGACACAGGCACAATTTTAGTTTAGAGATATACTGTCAGCTCAGATTCAGCCAAATGCAGCAAAGTTGATTGGACGGCACTTCACAATACAGATGGACAATGATCCAAAACACACTGCAAAAGCAACCCAGGAGCTTTTGAAGGAAAAGAAGTGGAATATTCTGCAATGGCTGAATCAGTCACCTGATCTCAACCCAATTGAGTATGCATTTCACTTGCTGAAGGCAAAACTAAAGGCAGAAAGACCCACAAACAAAGAACAACGGAAGACATCTGCAGTTAGAGCCTGGTGAAGCATCAGAAAGGAGGAAACCCAGTCTTTGGTAATGTCCATGGGTTCCAGACCTCAGGCAGTCATTGCCAGTAAAGGATTCTCAACAAAATATTAAAAATTAACATTTTATTTATGATTATATTTATTTGTCCAATTACATTTGAGCCCCTGAAAATGGAGGGACTGTGTATAAAAATGGTTGCAGTTCCTAAAATGTATACTTTATATTGATGTTTAACCCCTTGAATTAAAGCTGAAAGTCTGCACTTCAGTTTCATTTGGATTGTTTTGTCTTAATTTATTCTGGTGGCATACAGAGCCAAAAGTATGGAAATTGTGCTTGTGTCCAAATATATATGGACTTAACTGTATGTTAGCAGTGGATATGGTGAGAGAAGTAGTGATCAACCTCATTGGTGTGCTGCTTCCCTTTTATTGTCCGTCAACAAGTTAGGAGTGTTTCTGTGTTGTGCTGTAGCTGCAATGTAGTTCCCAGACTTATCTATGCTGATTAGTAAGGGTGCCAGGATCACAAGACTGGCTGAACAGGATTACAAACCATTTGGCAGGTTTAAATGTTTTTTTGTTTTCATAAATGTATTTAAACTGTGCATTTTGGCTATGTGGCTAAAGTCCAGCTTTAGATATTAAAGTGGTTGTAAAGGCTTGAGAAGGCATTCTATGCATGAAGGTAAAAAACCTTATGTCTGCAGCTCCCCCCAATACTTACATGAGTCCCCTGTGGATCCAGCAATGTACACACGAGCCTCGGCTCTCCGGGGACTCACCCTCCTCATTGGTTCCCCAGTTAGCCAATGAGGAGAGAGAGGGAGCAGGGCCGTGTCGCGGCTCTGTGTGTGAATTGACATACAGAGCAGCGGCTCGGGAAAGAGTCTACATGGGTGCCCTCCTAGCAAGCTGCTTGCTGTGGGGGCACTTGGAAGGAAGGAGGGGCCAGGAGCACAGGCGGATGACCTGAGAAGAGGAGGATTTGGGGATGCTCTGTGCAAAAACATTACATAGAGCAGATAAGTTTACCATGTTTGTTATTTAAAAACAAAAAAAAAAACTTGCCTTTAATATCGCTTTAAGATCAAGCATCAGATGTGCAGTGTTAAACACATTGATGGATTATCCATACACTTCCGCTACATTACAGGGAACACCCCCTGAGAGAGAGAGAACCAAGGTATAGATTTGTTAGTTTACTTTCTCAAATGAGTAGGATGCATCTGTCTAAGCCATAGTGCTCTTAATATTGACATTAAATGTATTAGTTTAAAAAGGACTCTTTACTTTTCAGTCTTCTCTCAAGAGGTTGGGTGTCCTGGCCTGTGGCTTGTTTGTTGACGTTGAAGGAGTTGAATTTGAGAGCAGACTGGAAGCTATCCTTGTGACTATCGAACGGGAAATTGACCCATTACAGTTTGAAGATGTGAGTATCTTAATGTCTTCACACAGTTTCAAGAGATATATTGTAGATTGTTGTGCAATACTGAGTTTTAGTGTGTTTATTGCAGTTGAAAGAAGAGACAGAAGAAAAGGCAGCTGACAGACTGCTATTCAGCTTACTTACCCTGGTTGCCAAGCTCATCAAGGAGTGCAATATTACACAGCTCACAAAGCACAGAGAAATTGTACATAAAATATGTGGTATGACATTTCCTCTTACAATTGCAGGCCACTAGTGAGCTTTTTACAGCCTAACTCAAAATTAAAAGTTTGGGGCAAAATTTAGGATTAAAATAATATTTACATGTGGCTACACATTTGTAATATTAAAGTAATATTTACCAGAAAGCAATTTTTGATGTGACATTTTACATGTTTGCAGTTTGTTTACTAATTTTATTTGATTTACAGCTTTGAGGTTTCCCCCTCTAGAGACTGTCTCTGTTTATTCGGAATAGCAGTCAGTACCACAATTGTGATTAAAAGATGTTTCTTGATAAGCCACATAAGGGACAATCTAGTATGATGTATATGTTTAGATTAATATTAGATTATTTTATGCAAATTCTCTAATCATTTTTTGAGCTGAATTCAAAAACATAAATATCCTCAGTTGTATAATTAGTATATTTTAATTTTACAGCACAGGACACATAGCTTGTATTTATAGACTATTATATGCAGGCTACCTTTCAAGTGATTAGACAATGAGAAAGTTTTGCTGGTGCCACTCCTACTGCACACTTCTCTAACCCTACCCACGCCATTACAGAGTTTTTTTTTTTTTTGCTAGAGTCCTTAGGTGATGGACTTCTTCTTATTTCAAGTCAAGTCATTATCATAATATGACTGCTTATTTCCCAGGGCTATTTAGCAGTTTCTGGATCGGTACCCCTCAGTACTGTACCTTGGAAACCATACCCAGGCCATACACTATTAGATTTTTTCATCAGCCTGTGGGCTAAGAGAAAACATTCTAACAGATTCCTCCATCTGTGCTATACAGTGTGGATGCTGAGGTTATTGTAGTATTGTGGCTACAATATGATTGTATGGCCAGCTTCATTTGCTCCAGCATGCTTTCCTTGGTTCTGGATATACAGATTTAGCTCAAGTACAAATATAGAGGAACACAAAGGATTTACAGTGTATCTTTTAAAGCAGCAGCTGAAAGAAAGGGGTTAACATGAAGCAGCTCAGGCAGTGAAGAGGATCCAATAACAGTAGCTAGTACTGTACCTTTCTCCAGTTTGTGGGGTTAATAATGTTATAGTTGGGCATAGCTGGTGGCACATAACCCAGTGGGCTACTGTTTATAATGTAATGTGTACTGAATAGATTTGATCTGTTTCTTATTTTTCTAGCTCATGTTCAAGCCCATCTGAGATACCCCCACAATTGGGTCTGGCTTACAGCATCCCAAATTTTTGGATTGTTGTTTTCCCTTCAAAAACCTGAAGAACTTGTGAATAAATGGATGGGCCAAAAGGGAAAGAAGTTAAAGAAGGCTCAGACAGAGGCCTCTGAATTCTACCTAGTGGAAAATCTGGACAGCAAGGTGATACATGTCTTTTTTTCACAGACATCTTTTCAAACTGAATTATAGCTAGTTAAGAAGGAAAGGTACATTTAAAGGCCACCTGTGGGCAAAAACTGAAATGTGAAGGCATTTATTGCCACATTGTTGTACGAAATAACAGATGAGTATCATGTGCCTGCCTAATGATTATCCTCTTCTGGACCGCCTGCCCGCACTGTACTGTGAATGGGTGGTCCGTGTAGGCACAGCAACGTACTGGTACATCACTGCCTGCTTCAGGGTATAAGGCCCGCCCATGACAGCAAGTCCCAGCCAATCATTCATGGCTGAGACCTGCTGATCGGCTGTGTACAATCAACATAGGGCTCTGTAAAGAGGGAATGATCTCTCTGTTTCTCATCCCTGCAAAGCAGGGATGAGAAACAAAGAGATCTCTTAGTAAAAGCTACACACTTTACACATATTACACATAGTTAGGCACACATTTCACCCCTTGATCGCCCTAGATATTAACCCATTCCCAGCTAGTGTCATTAGTACAGTGAGCGTGTATAGTATTATCATTGATCACTGTAATAATGTCACTGGTTATGTAAGTGGCAGTTTGTTAGTTTCCCCCCAGAGTTAGTGTCAGAAATTCTGCCACACATCACGTTCCTATTATGTCACTGATCATCATCGTCATGTGAAAAAAAAAAATCATTCATATATATATATATATATTTATATTTCATAGTAACTCATGCAAACCAATCAACACATACACTCATTGGGAATGTTTTTACCAAAGCCATGCAGCAGAATCCATTTTGGCCAACATTTATGAAGAAATTAAATTTTTTAAATTTTTTTATTGAATATGTTTTATAGCAGAAAGAAAATGTAGGTCTTTTTTTTGTTTATATTGCAAAAAAATAAGCCCAATGGTGATCAAATACCACCAAAAGAAAGCTCTATTTGTGTGAAAAAATTATATAAATTTCATTTGGGTACAGAATTGGATGACCGCGCATTTGGTAGTTAAAGTAGTGCAGTGCCAAAAAGCTGAAACATGGCCTGGTCATGAAGGGGGTAAAATCGTCCAGGACTCAAGTGATTAAATGACCAGTGTGTGTGTATGTTTACTATAGTACATGAAGTTTTGGGGGCATATTCTGTGTACCAGACAAGTTTCTTTAAGGACAGCTGGTCCATTTTTGCCATACTTACCAAAAGATGATCCAAAATGAACAGCCAGCATTTTGCTGCAGTGAAAATATATGTATGCAGTGCTGGGTAAATCTAATTCTCCAAACTAATTGTATACATATGTTTGCCAATACTCTCAATATTCTGACTAATGCATTTTTTTTTATTGTACTTGCATTAATCTGTTTCTGCTTTTGTTTCGATCTTCAGATTTACTATATCTGTTTTAATCGTTTCCATTGTATTCACAGATGAAAGATCTTTCGCTCTCTTTTTTCCATCAGCTACAGTCAAAATTTCTTGACCAGACCCTGGGAGAACAGGTATTTGGAAGAAGGCTTCTACAGTTATAAAAGAAGCCTGTCATGAGATAAACATTGTCGTTGCTTATTTCTACCTTTTAAAATGCTAGATGCCTGGCTCTCGTATTCACCTTGTTGCTTCATTACAGTCATAGACCTGGGAGCAAGTATGCAGATAAGGACTTATAACACTTCTCTAAATTTCTTAGTTTGCATACCTTCTGCAGGTCTAGCTTCAAAAGTATTGAAGGCACATAACAGCCAGTTAACTAGCATTTCAAAAAGGAGGTTTCCAATTGTATTACCCATTATTTATATCTTTAATGGTTTACATTTAGTAAAGCAAAACGTTCATCCTTGTTAGCTAATGTGGTGATCAGGAGGTTTGTATGCATCTCAGTCTATTCTGGAATGTGTTGATTTGACAAGTCTGGCCTGCCTTTTGGCAGTGATTCCAGGATCATTATCATTTAGAACCAACAAAACAATGAATGAGAGAATCCTAAAGCTCTTTAACGACCATATAGCATTGAATGTCTGCGATTTCTTCTTTGTATGTTCATAGTCTCTGTGTGAGAAAATACTGTATGTATTTATGGGAGAAAAGTACTCTGCGAGCTTGGAGCATCTCTATAGTGTAAAATAGCCAAACAGAGATTTATTTTTTGGGCTCATGGTTATATCACTTAGTGTACGTTAAAGGGTATCTTTGGTCAAAATAGGAAATATATTCATTTCCACGTTGTAATTCAATTATTTCTAATGTACTCTGGTCAATCTGAATGACCTTGAAGTTTGCAAACTTACTTTGTGGAGAATCCCACACATTTACTTGAATTCTGTGACAAGTATTCACTATGTCCTGTGAGTAGGCACTGCTGTGTCACACATTTTGCAGAGCCTGCCTTCTGAACTACAGAGGTGCTGAGAGGGGAATTTTAGGAGGCAGAGTCAGTAAAAGCATACCAGCTTGTGGGCAACAAGGTATCATGGGATATGTAATCCATAGAAATTGAAAGTAAACAACAGAGGGAAAGCTGCAAAGTATGCAGGGAATCCAAGAAGTTGTGCAAAGAGAAGGACAACAGACAAGCAGGACTGACAACATGGAAGGAGATTTTGATATTACAATGTTGATGTTCTAAAATAAAAATGTATGCTTTGACCATAGGATTTCTTTAAGTGATACCTACTGTTATGGGAGTGAAAGGTATCCTTGGGATACATAATGAGACTATTTCTACCCATGATAGGTTTGAGCTATATGTAAGTATAGCCCTGTTGCTGTCTGATCACAGATAAATGACATAGCACCAAAACAGTAAAAATAGCTTTTAGGCTGTTTTACATCATTAATAAGATTAGTACTAGCAATTTCTAACAATATCATGATTGTCAAAATCTTTTAATGCCAATCTTTTAAAACCAATTCTGTTTTCTACTTTTTAAGGTGGTAAAGAATTTGCTGTTTGTAGCCAAAGTTATTTACCTCCTCCACCCAGAGGTGCAGAATACCGAGAACCACCAGGAGGAGGAAGATCATGAAAGTGTTAAGCAGGAGGCTTCTGGAGAAGAGGAAGATGCTGACAGTCAGATGAAAGAAGAGAAAGGTGCCACTTTAGTGTGGCTCATGACAAAATTGTCAATGCTAGCCAGGAAAGAAGCTGCTCATACTCCTAAAAATCCTCTAAAAGTGAGTCCAACTCTTATCATTGTTAGATATATATACATACTGTACATATTTATAAAGAAATAGGAAAAGTACATAATTGGAACTGATGACTCCATATAAGTATTACTGGTCAAAAATAGTTGCCTGGTTTACTTGTTGAGCTTATTCAGTACTCTGGTAAAGATGAGCAAAATGCAGCATTCAACAATAACCAACCACAAGGTTTGTCTTAGTTCACCTCACTACAGCAAATTTAAAACTGTTTAGTTATTATACATTAGCACACTTTGGACTTTCTAATTATTCTTTGCATAGCTTTACAGAATATCCTTTAAAACACTGGTTGTCAGCTCAGCAGGTATAGTGAACCTCAATGGTGACCCCTTACATCACCAGAGGGCAACACATAGTATTCAGCATATGTAATTCTAATGAAAACTTTTGGGGATTATAGAGAGAGGAAATGGTCACAGACTGTGGACATGCTATAGATTTGGTTGTAGACAAGCTGCAGAAGGCAGACTATGGACATGTTACATGAGACTGATGGTGATCACTGACATCACAGTCATCAATTCTTTCACTACTGAATGCTGGGGGTTCAAGGGTCCCAAAAGAAGTACCTAAAGGTCATAGGTTAGACACTGGGGTTTTAAAGTGTCTGAGAGAAGAACATTTCCAACGTTTTTTAATCTGATTTGTCAGCACTTAAGGTACAACAGCTTTTCTTTCAGAAATTCTGATCAATTAGACCAGTGTTCCTGGATGCTATAATGTTGTCTAACTTTTATTGTTGTATGAAAGAACCCTGGTCATGTACTATAAGGGTATGTATGAACCTTAGTCACATGTTACAAGGGTATGTATGAACCATAGTCACATATTACAAGGGTATGTATGAACCATAGTCACATATTACAAGGGTATGTGTGAACCACAGTCACATATTACAAGGGTATGTATGAACCATAGTCACATATTACAAGGGTATGTATGAACCATAGTCACATGTTACAAGGGTATGTATGAACCATAGTCACATGTTACAAGGGTATGTATGAACCTTAGTCACATGTTACAAGGGTATGTATGAACCACAGTCACATATTACAAGGGTATGTGTGAACCATAGTCACATATTACAAGGGTATGTGTGAACCATAGTCACATACTACATGGGTATGTGGGAACCACAGTCACATATTACAAGGGTATGTATGAACCATAGTCACATATTACAAGGGTATGTGTGAACCATAGTCACATATTACAAGGGTATGTGTGAACCATAGTCACATACTACATGGGTATGTGGGAACCACAGTCACATATTACAAGGGTATGTATGAACCATAGTCACATATTACAAGGGTATGTGTGAACCATAGTCACATATTACAAGGGTATGTGTGACCACCAGTCACATATTACAAGGGTATGTATGAACCATAGTCACATATTACAAGGGTATGTGTGAACCATAGTCACATATTACAAGGGTATGTGTGAACCATAGTCACATACTACATGGGTATGTGGGAACCACAGTCACATATTACAAGGGGTATGTATGAACCATAGTCACATATTACAAGGGTATGTGTGAACCATAGTCACATATTACAAGGGTATGTGTGAACCATAGTCACATACTACATGGGTATGTGGGAACCACAGTCACATATTACAAGGGTATGTATGAACCATAGTCACATATTACAAGGGTATGTGTGAACCATAGTCACATATTACAAGGGTATGTGTGAACCACAGTCACATATTACAAGGGTATGTATGAACCATAGTCACATATTACAAGGGTATGTGTGAACCATAGTCACATATTACAAGGGTATGTATGAACCATAGTCACATATTACAAGGGTATGTATGAACCAGTCACATGTTACAAGGGTATGTATGAACCATAGTCACATATTACAAGGGTATGTATGAACCATAGTCACATGTTACAAGGGTATGTATGAACCTTAGTCACATGTTACAAGGGTATGTATGAACCATAGTCACATGTTACAAGGGTATGTATGAACCATAGTCACATGTTACAAGGGTATGTATGAACCATAGTCACATATTACAAGGGTATGTATGAACCATAGTCACATGTTACAAGGGTATGTATGAACCATAGTCACACATATTACAAGGGTATGTATGAACCATAGTCACATATTACAAGGGTATGTGTGAACCATAGTCACATATTACAAGGGTATGTGTGAACCATAGTCACATATTACAAGGGTATGTGTGAACCATAGTCACATATTACAAGGGTATGTGTGAACCATAGTCACATATTACAAGGGTATGTGTGAACCATAGTCACATATTACAAGGGTATGTATGAACCAGTCACATATTACAAGGGTATGTGTGAACCATAGTCACATATTACAAGGGTATGTGTGAACCATAGTCACATACTACAAGGGTATGTGTGACAACCCTGGGCATGTACCATAAAGATATGAAAAGAACCCTGATCACTGAGGCCAGATCTATCTCATCTGATCTTTGGGTGCAGTAAAAAAAAAAAAGTCAGGTGGACATACTGTCAAAACGCCTTCTGAGGCCATTTTATCCTCTTCTTCTAGCTCTTTTTGTTTTGTGTCTTTTCAAGTCTTTCTGCTGGCACTGACAGTCTGTCACTGTGGGGCTTATTTACTAAAGCTGGTTCTCTCATAATCTCATGAACATCTGCATGGGAACCAATTCGCTTCCAAGTTTTATTGCTAAAGCTTAAATGAACAAGCTGAGGTTAGAAGGGAGATTTACCCTCCCTATTTGTTCTATTTATCATTAATAAAATATTGCCATTAGAAAACTAATAGAGGAGAAATCTTCCAATGGCGACACTAGTTCTGGTGACAACCGGCGATTCCTCACTTTAGAGGTATTGCCTCTCACTTCTTGTTTTGGCTAGGGTCTCCCCTATAGACACAGATAGGAAAAAAAGAAACGGACAGGGGGGTTATAACCCTCCATTTCTCTATCCAAAATGAAAACAAAAAGTTGTGCCTTTAGTTATACTTTGAAGGAATTTTTTTAATAGCAGAAATAAATATACCGACATTGCTGCTTTCTGTGGAAATGCTAGTTGTCTGGCTATCACTGGCTTTAAATTCTAGTTGTCGCTGTTCTGGAACAATTATGTAAGTCAACACTTCTGATTTCTTTGGCCGCATACTTGTTTCAGTTTAGTGATTAATATACAGGTTAGTAGAGCTCTGGACCCAAAGGTAGAAAAGATAGGGTGTCACAGATCTGATGTGAGTCCAGTAAACCTTTATTGCACATGACAAGAAGTCAGAGGAGAAAGCCAAGACATTTTGTGGGCTGGAAATGCCCCCTTCCAATGGAATAATACAAACAAAATCATAATGAAATAATATGAAGGATTAAAATATACAGTATAAACCAGTATCGTATATTACATTATAATTATGTAGTGGTTAATTTAAAAAAATCCATAAATAAAATGATTCTTAACTTAACCCATAAAATAGAATATCTATTTTATCACATCAAAATATATCCCAGTTTAAAATTGATAAAATAATTAACGCCGTGACCAGATACATTAATGGAGTGACCAGATGTGCCACATTATGATGCAGACGTGATTATAAAATGACTACATGCCTTAAAAATAATATTGATGCTATAACCACTGGTATATACCAATATTCGGATAGAATCCTGGACAAACAATTAAAAAATAAAAGTATCTGATATTACTACTTATATCATTCTTATTTAAAAAAACCTGCACTGAAATATGATGACTGTCATTGCTGATCTTTCCTCCTACAAATACTAGTTGCTTGGCTGTCTGATCAGAATTTTGGCTTCACTGGGCACATAGCTGCTCTGGGTCATAGAATCAAAAACCTTTACTCAGGAAACAGTCAGTCATGCTGTGTTCTGGAGTGTCTCCGATTTTAGGATGTTGTCCAAAGCTGGTTGTCATTCATGTTGCTGGTACTAATTCTGCTTTTTTGCCCTGTTCTTTCTTACAGAGAATATGTGTATTTAAATTCCTGGGGGCCATGGCAGTGGATCTAGGAAAAGAGAGAGTGAAGCCTTTTCTGCCATCCATCATTGCTCCACTTTTCAGAGAACTGAACAGTACCTATTCGGATCGAGGTAAAAGGGCACTACTGGTTGGACAAAAAAAAATGTCCCTGTCTTCCATACCAGATTAACCATGGAGGCTTCCATTACTGATCTCTTCTTTAAAACAAAGGTTAGGAGGTAAAACTTCAGCCAGATGCCCATGAAAATTCCAGGGGTTACTTGAAGACTAATTTAATTCTAATATGAGGTGCTTGGTTATCAAAAGTGGGCCAAATTCTTCCCACTGCTGCACAACATACAATATTGAAATGCACTGTTATGTAGCCTAGTATTGTTATGTATCCCAGTCACTATTTATTCCTGAAAAAATGTAAAGTGGTTGTAAACATCTTACATATACCTAGTGAAGTGACTACCCTCAGGTGGTACACAGGGGTTAAACAAATCCTCCTACATAAGATGTGCCTATTTATCTGCAGTCTTCTCTACATCTGTTCAAAGTGCTGAATTTATGCAGCTTGTCTGAGAGTTTAGAAAAATGGACCAGAGAGCTGAAGTTACATTCTACAAAGCTCAGTGAGGAGAGTTCTGAGAGCTGATTGGAGTAATAACCACTGTTTTATCCCGGCAGTAACGCCTTCCCTCCCCCCACTGGTTGCGGGAAACAAATTTGCACGATTTCCCTGTGGTTGCAGGAAGGAAATTTGCACTGTCTATGCCCTACCTTAGTGCTCTGGATTGAGAGACACTGTAGAGGAATATGATTTCTTCATATTTCATACCTGAGGTTTATAACCACTTTAAACTCATTGCTATTGCCATTAATAATGACATAATCTCTAAAACTATTGTTATAGGATTAAAAATCTTCAATACTTTTGTTTATACTGTCAACATCCAGAGGTTAGAGTAAAAAAAATCACACATCTTTGTATAATGACTTTGTAATCTCAATACTAATATGAATAGTTAAGATGACCAGTACAACACCTGTTGGAAATGTAAGAAAATGCCTGTAGCTGGTATACAAATGAGACGATAATGTTATGTAAAGTAGACTGTGTTGAATGAAACATTTAGACTGTGCCCCATTCTTCTAAACTTAGTGATGCCGTGATTTAGGAGAAGTTGCACTGTCAATGCAAACTATTTCAAACCCATGTAAGTTGGTAAGAGTAAAGATAATGGGGGAAATATATCAAAACTGAAGCAGTCAGAATCTGGAGCAGATTGCATGGCAGCCATTTAGCTTCTAACTTCAGCTTGTTCAATTAAGCTCTAAAATAAAAGAAGCTGATTACCGTATTTTTCGCCCCATAAGACGCACTTTTTTTCCCCCCAAAAAAGGGGGGAAAATGTCAGTGCGTCTTATGGAGCGAATATAGAGCGGCCGGTCCGGTATTTAAACCGCCGCCGTGCAGAATACCGGGCCGGCCGCTCAGCTCTGCAACGGGACCTTATGGAGAGGACTGCTGACCTTTGGGGTGGTGGGGAGCGGGTACCTGAATTGGACAGGTACCCGCTCTTACTTCTTTGATCTTACCTGTTCCTCTATCCAGCGGCGCGCTGTCTTCCCGGCTTCTGTGGGCACTGGGCATGACAGCCGGGTGCCAAGTGCACATGCGCAAGAAGCGGTGCTTTTTGTGAATGGTAAGGCGGTACCTGGGACACATGACAGATCCCAGAAGCCGCCGGACCAATCACAAAGCGCAAGTGCTTCTCGCTCATGCGCACTGGGCACCCGGCTGTCATGCCGAGCGCCATTACAGAAGCCGGGAAGACAGCGCGCGGCTGGATCGAGGAACAGGTAAGATCAAACAAAAACTCTGCGGAAGTAAGAGCGGGTACCTGTCAAATTCAGGTACCCGCTCCCCACCTCCCCAAAGGTCAGCAGTCATCTGTACTGTCCGCAGTCTCTGGTCATCCCTGTGCTGTCCGCATTCTCTGGTCATCCCTGTGCTGTCCGCAGTCTCTGGTCATCCCTGTGCTGTCCGCAGTCTCTGGTCATCCCTGTGCTGTCCGCAGTCTCTGGTCATCCCTGTGCTGTCCGCAGTCTCTGGTCATCCCTGTGCTGTCCGCAGTCTCTGGTCATCCCTGTGCTGTCCGCAGTCTCTGGTCATCCCTGTGCTGTCCGCAGTCTCTGGTCATCCCTGTGCTGTCCGCAGTCTCTGGTCATCCCTGTACTATGTCTGCAGTCCATTAGTTGCACATTTGGCCACATTTCCTTACATGTATCCAGTAAAGGAGCATCATGAAATTATAAACTTGAAAAACGTTGCTGTTCAGGTAGGAAAACCTATTAAATTTGCTTTGTTTCTTCTAGACCCAACACTGAAAAATCTCTCTCAAGAAATCATTGACCTTCTGAAGAATTTGGTTGGCTTACAGTGTTTCTCATTGTGTTTTGCTGGTGTACAGAAACTAGCCAATCAGAAGAGAGCCATGAGGAAAAAGCAAAAAGCTCTGCAGGTAATGTTGAATATTCATCCGTGTTCTTGGTGATACTCTGCAGGTATTGTGGCTACATGTATTGTTTGTCATAATTTGTGCTTAATTTGTGTAATTCATTTAAATGAAGCCTTAAGCTGGCTATGCAGTGATCAAAATGTGGCTGGTTCAGCAGGGCCAGACAAATTGTGATCAGTTTATGGCTGCCCCTGCTTGATAGAAGTTGATTGGTTGATCACGGTTTCAATGCACAGGTTCCTGTAGACTCTTCCTCCAGTTCCTTGTCCGTACTAACTCTCAGTTGGAGAGCTAGAGAAAGTGTTAATGTAAATCGAGTGCAGTGATCACCATACTTGTGTTATATTGATAAATACACGTTCATCTGCCGCAGTGGCAGGCATGACTTGTAGTTCATTCTCTCACAGATCTCTGTTATTGAATGATATGGCTGTGTGGATGGAGCCCGCCGCACAGCTGCGCAAAAATAAAAAGTGACAGCTGCCGCCGGGAAAAAGAACTCCCACGTGCTATCATAAGAGGAGTGGTTTGAGAGTGGGGGGAGTTGGCTTGCAACCATGTTATATGTTACATCTTAAATATAGGTCTAAAAGTACATCGGGAGCTTTCCGGTACCCAAAGGTCACTGTGCTCAGAGAGTGCACTCTCAGCAAAGTAAGGTGTTTACATGAAGATGTATATATGCGGCCACTCACTATATTGCCAAAAGTATTGGGACACCCCTCCAAATCATTGAATTCGGGTTCCAATCACCTCCATGGCCATAGGTGTATAAAATCATGCACCTTGGCATGCAGACTGCTTCTACAAACATTTGTGAAAGAACGGGTCGCTCTCAGGAGCTCAGTGAATTCAAGCGTGGTACCTTGATAGGTTGCCACCTGTGCAATAAATCCATCTGTGAAATATCCTTGCTACTAAATATTCCACAGTTAACTGTTAGTGGTATTATAACAAAGTGGAAGTAACTGGGAACAACAGCAATTCAGCCAAAGTGGTAGGCCACGTAAAATGACCGAGCGGGGTCAGCACATGCTAAATCGTACAGTGCACAGAAGTCACCAACTGCAGATTCAATAACTAAACACCTCCAAACTTCATGTGGCCTTCAGATCAGCACAACAGTGCGTAGAGAGCTTTATGGAATGGGTTTCCATAGCCGAGCAGCTGCATCCAAGCCTTACATAACCAAGTGCAATACAAAGCATTGGATACAGTGGTGAAATGCACACCTCCACTGGACTCTAGATCAGTGGAAACATGTTCTCTGGAGTGACAAATCATGCTTCTCTGTCTAGCAATCTGATGAATGTGTCTGAGTTGAGCTTGGCCCCTTAGTTCCAGTGAAGAGAACTCTTAAGGTGTCAGCATACCAAGACATTTTGGACAGTTTCATGCTCCCAACTTTGTGGAAACAGTTTGGGGATGATCCCTTCCTGTTCCATCATGACTGTGCACCAGTGCACAAAGCAAGGTCCATAAAGACATGGATGAGTGAGTTTGGGGTGGAGGAACTTGACTGGCCTGCACAGAGTCCTGACCTCAACTCAATAGAAGACTTTTGGGATGAATGACAGTGGAGACTGTGATCTAGGCCCTCTTGTCCGACATCAGTGCCTGACCTCACAAGTGTGCTTCTGGAAGAATGGTCAAACATTCCCATAGACACACTCCTAAACCTTATGGACAGACTTCCCAGAAGAGTTGAGGCTGTTATAGCTGCAAAGGGTGGGCCAACTCCATATTGAACCCTATGGACTAAGACTGGGATGCCATTAAAGTTCATGTGCGTGTAAAGGCAGGCATCCCAATACTTTTGGCAATATAGTGTATATGTGTATGGCTGGCAGAAAGTGGTTAACTTTGCCTGGAAATGGGCTTTAATGTGGTTGAAGTAAAGTTTTACTCATTTTTTTCTCTGCCAAACAAACCTGCATGCTATGGTTTAGAAAATTAGATTTATATAGCATATTCTTCATCATCCTTTGGGTCAGACATTTGTAACAGCTAAAATACAACTTTTTGGAGTGCATGGGGAAACCAAAGCACTCATTGAAGTACAACACAGGCACTTGGGTGGTCCCAGGTGCTGTACTACTTAGCTGATATTTGTTGTAGATGTAATATTATGCATTTCTGTTTGTTTTAGGCTGTGGCTAACCCTGATGTGGCAGCCAGGAAGAAACTCAAGAAACACAAAAATAAAATTGAGGCAAAAAAGAGGAAGATTGAGTTTTTAAGACCAGGATATAAAGCAAAGAAACCTCGCAGCCATGCTCTCAAAGACCTGGCAATGGTGGAATAAAACTGTGCTGTTCCATCATATAGCAACCATTGTTGTACAGTAGGGTGCAATACTCCTTTTGGAATCATTTTTCATGTACAGTTTAATGTATTGTCTTTATTTTTCCAAATAAAGTGTTTTCTAATTAACTTGCATTTGTTATGTTTTCTCCTTTAGAAAATTGTGTGACCAATAGACTGAGCAGAATACTGTATTTGGTATTACATATTGTCAAAGCTACAGTTGTTATGAAGATTAACCAGATAGACTGTATTCCATTTCAATTGGCAGAATAGTTTCAGTTATATAAATTCACATGGTCACTTGCTGTATTCATTCTCAATATAGCTTCTGCAAAGTGACAGTTAAGATGGCACTTATATGGAAACAGTCATTGCATTTTATGAAGAATCTAGAGCAGGGGTGGGTAATGCAGGGTATAGATGGTTCGTTTATCGGGCGATTTTCGCACAGTTAGTGGGGCAACGGCCGATTTTCGCGGTTCCTCCTCATTTCTTTTATCGGTCATGCTGGAAAATTTGTGAAAAACGGCCGATTTTTGCAATCATTGGTGGCAACAGAACGACCAATGATTCGTTTTTTGGACAAAAAATCGGCCCATAAATGAACCGTCTATGGCTTGCATTACTGTGGCTTTCCAAATATTGTGGAACTGCAAGTCCCATCATGCCTCTGCCTTCAGGAGTCATGCTTGTAATTGTCAGCTTTGCAAGGCCTCATAGGACATGTAGTTCCTCATCAGCTGGAGGGCTGAATTTGCCTACCCTGATTTAGGGCCACATCTGTCAAATACATGCTTTGTTTTTGACAATTTAGAAACAATGCCTATAAAAGTATATCTAAAGCCAAAATGTTTTTCTTCATTTTGGATAGAATAGAACAGTTAAACCTTCTCAGATATTTTTGTCTTGGTCCAATTTGGAAGATTTCCCTTCATGTTCTGCCCTGTAGACACATCAGGAAGTAAGAGGAAATCCTCTCACACAGTTGTCACAGCAACACATGTTCTCATTGGAAGCCTCCCTCCCTATTTCTGTTGTGACAACTCTACATTTTAGATTCTCCCGTATTTTCAGTCCCAGTAGCAATGGTTTCTTGGATGAGTCTCTTTAGAATGACCCTTTTCTACTCTATCCAAATCATTAGATACACTTTAAGCTAACTAGCCAATTTGTGCTTTATAAGAGGAAACAGTCTTGTTGAAAACAGCACTGCTGGAAATCAATTCTGTTTAATACAGCGGTTCTCAACCTGGGGGTCGCGACCCCTTTGGGGGTCGAACGACGCTTCCACAGGGGTCGCCGAAGACCATCGGAAAACACATATTTCCGATGGTCTTAGGAACCGAGACACCGCTCCTCGCCGCCGCCCGCCGCCACCGCCGTCTCCAGGTGTGGGCGGGATGACATGCCGCCCCTGTCATCTGGACACACCTCGAGATCAATCCTCGCCTGTGATTGGCCGCCGGCACTGTAGCTCAGGAGAGGCACACAGGCGGCCAATCACCGGCAAGGAGGTGGAGCTTGGAGAGGAGGAGCCGAGCGGCACCGCGAAGATCGAGCGAGTGAAGAGGAGGAGAGCGGCTGGAGAAGGAAGACATCTGACAGGTAAGTGTCGGTACCATGGGAGAGGGAGGGAGCGAGCGAGCCCAGGCTGGAGCAGGGGTCTGCAAGGTAAGTATCATTGGTGTCAGTGGGAATAGTGCCCCATCATTGGTGTCACTAATACCAATGATGGGGCACTATTCCTCCCACTGACACCAACGATGGGACACTATTCCTCCCACTGACACCAACGATGGGGCACTATTCCTTCCACTGACACCAACAATGGGGCACTATTCCTCCCACTGATACCAATGATGGGGCACTAATCCTCCCCACTGACACCAACGATGGGGCACTATTCCTCCCCCAAATGACACCAACGATGGGGCACTATTCCTCCCCCACTGACACCAAGGATGGGGCACGATTCCTCCCCCCACTGACACCAAGGATGGGGCACTATTCCCCCCCCACTGACACCAAGGATGGGGCACTATTCCTCCCCCCACTGACACCAAGGATGGGGCACTATTCCTCCCCCCACTGACACCAAGGATGGGGCACTATTCCTCCCCCCACTGACACCAAGGATGGGGCACTATTCCTCCCCCCACTGACACCAAGGATGGGGCACTATTCCTCCCCCCACTGACACCAAGGATGGGGCACTATTCCTCCCCCCACTGACACTAAGGATGGGGCACTATTCCTCCCCCCACTGACACCAAGGATGGGGCACTATTCCTCCCCCCACTGACACCAAGGATGGGGCACTATTCCTCCCCCCACTGACACCAAGGATGGGGCACTATTCCTCCTCCCCCCACTGACACCAAGGATGGGGCACTATTCCTCCCCACACTGACACCAATGATGGGGCACTATTCCCCCCACTGACACCAATGATGGGGCACTATTCCCCCCACTGACACCTATGATGGGGCACTATTCCTCCCCCCACTGACACCAATGATGGGGCACTATTCCTCCTCCCACTGACACCAATGATGGAGCACTATTCCTCCCACTGATACCAATGATGGGGCACTATTCCTCCCACTGATACCAATGATGGGGCACTATTCCTCCCACTGACACCAATGATGGAGCACTATTCCTCCCACTGATACCAATGATGGGGCACTATTCCTCCCACTGATACCAATGATGAGGCACTATTCCTCCCACTGACACCAATGATGAGGCACTATTCCTCCCACTGATACCAATGATGAGGCACTATTCCTCCCACTGATACCAATGATGGGGCACTATTCCTCCCACTGATACCGATGATGAGGCACTATTCCTTCCACTGACACCGATGATGGGGCACTATTCCTCCCACTGATACCGATGAAGGGGCACTATTCCTCCCACTGATACCGATGATGAGGCACTATTCCTTCCACTGACACCGATGATGGGGCACTATTCCTCCCACTGATACCGATGAAGGGGCACTATTCCTCCCACTGACACCGATGATGGGGCACTATTCCTCCCACTGACACCGATGATGGGGCACTATTCCTCACACTGATACCGATGACGGGGCACTATTCCTCACACTGATACCGATGACGAGGCACTATTCCTCCCACTGACACCGATGACGAGGCACTATTCCTCCCACTGACACCGATGACGGGGCACTATTCCTCCCACTGATACCAATGACGGGGCACTATTCCTCCCACTGATACCAATGACGGGGCACTATTCCTCCTCCCACTGATACCAATGACGGGGCACTATTCCTCCCACTGATACCAATGATGGGGCACTATTCCTCCCACTGATACCAATGATGAGGCACTATTCCTCCCACTGACACCTATGATGGGGCACTATTCCCCCCACTGACACCAATGATGGGGCACTATTCCTCCCCCCACTGACACCAATGATGGAGCACTATTCCTCCCACTGACACCAATGACGGGGCACTATTCCTCCCACTGACACCAATGACGGGGCACGATTCCTCCCACTGACACCAATGAAGGGGGCACTATTCCTCCCACTGACACCAATGAAGGGGCACTATTCCTCCCACTGATACCAATGATGGGGCACTATTCCTCCCAATGACACCAATGACGTGGCACTATTCCTCCTACTGCAAAATTACAGTTATGAAGTAGCAACGAAAATAATTTTATGGTTGGGGGTCACCACAGCATGAGGAACTGTATTAAGGGGTCGCGGCGCTAGAAAGGTTGAGAACCACTGGTTTAATAGTAAGTATACTTAGTTTGAGAAGTGATCTGTGTAGCAAGGTCTGATGGGGGTTTTGTAAGATGTATGAACACACTATTCAGTAGAACTAACACAAGTGTTTTTTTACTTACTGTTAAATGAGTTTTCTTTTTCATCCACTAAGGAAACAAGAAGTTGGATACAGTCAGGTTATGCTGGTACCTACCTAATATAAAAAAAAGCTGTTAATAAGTAGGCTCTTTATTGCAGAAGAGACATGCAATGTTCACTCAATGGAGTACCCCCATTCCTGGAACTAATCCCCTCTTTTCCTCTGGAAATGAGTGGGATTCCCCCCCAACTCTCCCCCGTGACAGGGAGAGTGACCTAACCCCTGTGCTGGATGATGCTAAGCATTTTGGCCTCACTTGGATGGTCTTTCAGAAGGTCAACCTGTAGGTCCAGCACCAGGAGATGAGACATCTGCACTTGAGTGGGCCTCAGATCCTTCACAAGCAGAGGATCATCAGAGGGAACATCCTAACCCACACCTGCGGGTAGTTTGCTGGGGACAGAGTATATGCAGAGGACTTCATGGGGCCTTTCTACTGGAGAGTGGCCCTCCATCAAGGAGGGGTTATACTGTTACACTAAATTTAAAAAACAAATGAACGGCGCATGGTCATAAACCTGAGCATATTATAAACATATCATAAACCAGTCCCATAATTGGTGAAAAAAAGAAGGTGCTCGTGCTTGTGTTCAACTTGTATCCAATATCTTGTTTAGTGCTCCATTGTGCTGAACTTGTGTTCAACTTGTATCCAATATCTTGTTTAGTGCTCCATTGTGCTGAACAATATTGCCCCATGTGGACTGATACTCACCTTCATTCCATAATCAACTATCTCTGGAGTGGTCATTAACGCTTTGCAGAACAATCTCAGTAAGCCTATGGTCCCCAAATCCTTTTAGCCTGTGGACGTATCTTTAGAATGGTCCGTGACATATAAGGACAATTGCCAAACAGCCCGCTATCTCCACAACTCCGCAAGTAGCAGTGAAATAAATCACCATGTCAGCTATTCATGTGAATGTGTAGCTTTCTATATAGGAAAAACCAGGCAAGAATTCTGGCGTCGTATGTAGACACAGCATGAAAGTCTGCAATATTTGACTAATGAAATTTCCTGTGAGATCTCACAACCACTCCAATCCTGGACAGGGCTGTCACAACTAACCCCATATGTAGGTAGTGGTCTTGATGGCCAAGGCTGTGGATGAGTGGGGGTGACTACTAGGATCTACAGAATATTGTCCAACCTGTTGCCCAGCTTGGTTATTGATTAAAGATTGTAAGGAAAAAATTAAAGCAAAAAATGGGTAACCCTGTTAAAAAAAAGGAACTAAGTATCAGCAGGAAGTTAGGTCTTTACTCCTACCCACAAGGCTAAAAAACTGAGCTGCCTATAGTAGATGGGGGGGTCTGGCTACCATAAGGGACTGTCCCTAGGTGGTGCTTTTTTTTTTTTTCTGCCTAATGTCCTACTCCTGGAGATGGCACTATAACCCTACTGTCAGGCTCTGCCGTTCAATGAAAAAAAAGAGATATGGAATTTATGGTAGGATGTACAGGGGAAAAGCTTTTTGCGAAGTTCTCTGCTTTGCTTTTCTGTTAAAGAAATCCACCTTTTTTTCTTTTGGAAAACCTGTACTGAGATGAATATAGAAGCCGCCTTTGCTGCCCTCATCCTGAACATGGTAATTGCTTAGTCACTATTGCTATTCGTACTTTGAGTTACTGACCCAGAAATAACATGCAGTAAATGAAGTCTGAAATGCTGATCTGCAGGCTTGTTCCTGGGTAGTAATATTGAGGATCATTACTGTATTGGCATACCAACAAGGCAACTCATTTTTTTAATATATAGGGCAGCTAGGTGATTGATCGTGTTATATACTGTAAGTATTGAAGTCATCTTTTTTTTTTTTTTTAGAACCCCCATAACAATTTTTTTGTCAGTAAAGTCTAATTTCCTGATTCCAGCTAGTTGACCACTATATATAAAGCAGGAGAAATGTACCAATCTATTTGCTTCATGTTTTAGGTACTTTTACCTGTACCACAACAAATCTAATCCTAATAAGTGAAGCCAACAGCATTCAAAACAACACACACCCTAACAATTTTTATGAACTGAAACTTGGTTCATTGATACCGTATAAAGCAACACCTAGAGTGCAAACTCTCTCTGGGCCCAGAATGGCATAAATCTCCTTCCTTACCCCAGACACCACTAAACTACTCGTATACTCCCTGATTATCTCACGCCTTGACTACTGCAACTCCCTCCTCACCGGCCTACCCCAGCGCAGGCTTTCCCCGCTTCAGACCATCCTGAACTCAGCGGCTACTCATCTACCTCACCAACTGCTCCCACCTCTGCCTATCCCTCCACTGGCTCCCTATTGCCCAATGCATCAAATTCAAACTACTCACTCTGACCTACAAAGCCATTCACAACACTGCCCCTAACTACCTCACCAACCTGATTCCCAGGTACCACCCTACCCGTACCCTTCGCTCCTCACAGGACCTCCTGTCTTGTCTCCTCCTCCCACGCACGACTGCAAGACTTATCCAGGTCCTCCCCCATCCTCTGGAACTCACTACCCCAATCCATCAGATTGTCACCTTCCCTCCTCACCTTCAGGCGCTCCCTGAAAACCCACCTCTTCAGGGAAGCCTACCCTACCCTCACCTAACAGCCGTTCTCCTTCATTCCTCCTACCACTCCATCCCCCCCCAGAGCCACTTCCTCCTGTACCACTACCCCCTCCCTCCTAGATTGTAAGCTCAAAAGAGTAGGGCCCTCTAACACCTCGTGTGCTGTTTGTTGTTGCTGTACTGTTTCATGTATTGTCCCCCCCCCCCCTCTATTGTACAGCGCTGAGCAAACCCTTTGGGGCTATATAAACTCGATGTAATGAGGGCCATTCTGATAATTAAATATACCTATTGAGATTGCCATATATTTGCCAATTTGGGGAACATTGCACCCAGTATTTTGTTTCAGATTTCATGCTGGAACCATTCAAAACAAGGAAGGTGAGCACTCAGCAAAATTTGGGCTGCACACTGCTCTTCTTTTAGCACACAGGAGCAAATTATTTGATAATTGCTTGTCTGCATTAAAGCTGGCCTAACACTGAATTTCAGTCGTTTCACAAGGAATCGGATTGACTTCACCCAGTGGATTACCATGCTCGGTTTGATAAATTGATCGTTCAATTAACTTTTATTAACCACTTCACGTCCGGACACTTTTTACCCCCTTCCTGTCCAGGCCAATTTTCAGCTTTCAGCGCTGTCACACTTTGAATGACAATTGCGCAGTCATGCAACACTGTACCCATATTAATTTTTTTAGCATTTTTTTTTGAGACAGATAAAACTTTATTTTGGTGGTATTTATTCACCACTGGGATTTTTATTTTTTTTGCTATATAAATGAAAAAGTCCACAAATGTTTAAAAAAGTGTTTTTCTTATAAAATTTTGCAAATAAATGATCTTCATAAATCTTGGCAAAAATGTATTCAGTTATCTTTTTAGTAAAAAAAAGTAACCCAAATTAGTTTATAACCAAAAATAATAATTTTTCACAAATATACTGTCATAAACATACTGTCACCCTAGCAGTACAGTGTCACCAACAAACTTTATACTTGGCACAATGCAGTCAGGCAAGTACCGTTCTCCTGGCAACCGCCAAACCCAGACACGTCCATCAGATTGCCAGACAGAGAAGCATGATTGGTCACTCCAGAGAACACATCTTCACTGCTGTAAAGTCGAGTGGCGGCATGCTTTACACCATTGCATCCGATGCTTTGCATTGCACTTAATGATGTAAGGCTTGGATGCAGCTGTTCGGCCATGGAAACCCATTCCATGAAGCTCTCTACGCACTGTTGTGCTAATCTGAAAGCCACATGAAGTTTGGAGGTCTTTAGCTATTGACTCTGAAGTTGGTGACTTCTGAGCACTGTGTGCTTCAGCATGCGCTGACCCCGCTCTGTCATTTTACGTGACCTACCACTTCATGGCTGAGTTGCTGTTGTTCCCAGTTGCTTTCACTTTGTTATACCACTAACAGTTGACTGTGGAATATTTAGGCGCAAGGAAATTTCACAGATGGACTTATTGCACAGGTGGCAACCTATCACAGTACCACACTTGAATTAAATGAGCTTTTGAGAGCCCGCCGGTCTTTCACAAATGTTTGTAGAAGCAGCCAGCATGCCTAGGTGCTTGATTTTATACACCTGTAGCCATGGAGGTGATTGGAATCCAATGATTTGGAGGGGTGTCCCAATACTTTTGACAATATAGTGTATCTTGCCATGATAAATGATTTATCCATCAAAATCTAGACACTATCATTTTTAATAAGCCTAAACAGCTGTAAATCTTGTTAACAGATAAGTTCCTTTTGGTAAGTGTGTCCACAGCCATCACTGTTGTTAACTTAGCTTTGCCTTTAAAGATAGTGGTGGGTTTACCTGTGTTCAGTTATGGCTGGTTTGTAGTCCAAAAGCCAAAGAAGCAGGCTTTGTTTCCAGATACAGCCCTACAATCAGATACTGAATGTATTTAAAGGAAGAAAAATTGTAACAAAGTACAGGCAAGCCCCGAGTTGCAAACATCCGACTTGTACTTAAAGCGGAGTTCCACCTGAAAAAAAAAAAAATAAAAAGTCAGCAGCTACAAAAACTGTAGCTGCTGACTCTTAAAATACTGACACTTACCTGTCCCTCGGTGTCCTCACCACAGCTGGTTTCACCAGCCGTCTTCTCTCCCTGGCGCCGGCATCTTCAGTGTGGGCAACCAGCTGTGACAGCTTGCGGGGGGGTGGGGGGGGTGTTTGCCAACTTCCGCTTCTGATCGCCTATGCGATCGCTGCGGAAGTGGGAGCGGATATCTGTCAAATTCGGGTACCTGCTCCCCAAAGGTGCCTATCCTTAATGGGGAGCGGGGGACATAGGCTTAAACCGGAACTTTCCTTCTTGGGTGGAGCTCCGCTTTAAGAACAGAGGCAGCGTGATGTCACTCTGGTCCCAGAAACTGCTAGGTAGCCATCTTGCTGCTCACCACATGCTGCCACCTACTGTCCAGCAGACCTGCCAGCAATCCCACAATACTGCATGGCCAGTTAACTCTTCCCTATACTATCCAAAACGAATAATTTTTTTGGCTGGAGTTACAAATTTACCTGTTCCAACTTGCATACAAATTCAACTTGAGAATTAACTACAGAACCGATCTTGTTCATTACCTGGGGACTGCCTGTAGACCAGAGTTTATTACAATCACTTTGTCCTGTTTTTCTAGGAGCTATTTCATTTCCACTGCATGTAAACTCAAAAGCTGAGGTACTGAGAAGAAAAATCCCAGTATGGATGCTATTCTTAATGTGCCGAATACACTCTGATATGACACTATTTCAGGACATACATAGTTTCTATTTTACTGCTGCATTTACCAGCCTTGTTTGGACAGTTTGAAAATAGTCACCAAGGTTTTTTTTCTCAAATGTAGAATTTGGAAACAGTGTTCATAAGAATGGAGACTTCTAATTATAAATGTTTATTTATACATTTGGTCTTCATAATAGAGACAGTTTACAGCTATGGATCAATTTTACAGGCCCAATTCTCAATCTTTTCAAACTTTTTACAATTTGAAAAAAACTATCAGTTAAGAGGGAAATACAATCTTAGATACATACTGTGCATCTTCCAAATCACCATCATTAAAAAAAAAAAAAAAGAAAAAAAAGTTATAAATAAGTTGAAACTACAATACATAACAGGCACATAGAGAGAAGTATTATACAGTGCTACTGTAGAAGAGGACACATGGAATTTAATGACTGCACCCTTTGCATTCAAGGGACCAGTGTCAGGTTGTTGCTGTGCAGATGTTATATGTACATCCAGAGGCATTCTTCTGAGGAGTGGTGACATGTACAGTATAGCAGGGGGAAGTATAAGGAGCTCACTGCCTGCTCTTCAGAGACTCCACCAACCTGCAACATAAAGGAAATAAATGTAGACAGACTGCAACGGTAACACTGTAATAGCAAGGAGCACATTGAAAAACAAAATGTTCCCCTTCATATTGGATTTTCCCTTAAAGTGTTGGCTCACCTTAAGCAAGATCCCCCCTATGCAGTTCCATATGCTTCGAATAGTACATACCAATGCTCCTCCTGTTTTAAATTGTACACATCCTCTCCACAGAAAAACACTGAGCTCAGTCTGAGGAGTTGTGAAGGTGCACGTGCGTTTGAACAGCTCAGAGCAGCTGCTACTTAGCTCATCTGGAGCGAGGGAAAGCACAGTGTGCGCACAGGGGTGAATGGCGCAGATCGGCCATTGCGGACGTGCAATTGTAATGTCTAGTCTGTCCTGCAAATGGCAGGATTGAGGGGCTAGTGATTTTGTAAAGCGGCCCCCCAACAGCTGAATATGTAATGGGAGGATGCGCACCATTTAAAACAGGTGTGTTGGTATGTACAATTTAGAGCATATGAAATTGCATAGGGGGGTTTGGGGAAAATCTTGCTGAAGGTGATATTTTATGTATTTTCTCTTTAATTACATTCTTTTTCTATCTTGCCTCATAATTTACACTTACCTCACAGGAATATAATAGGCAAGATAAAATATGGCCATACATAAAATATTAGTTTTTACCCTGGTCCTGAGGGTACAAAAATTAATGAAATGTAAATGCTAAAAAATTTTAAATTTTCTTGTCTTGGTACATCTACAACCTGAAAAACAAACCAAAACCTACAAGAAAAAAAAAAGCTGAAACAACTTACGCGAAGTATAAATTATTAGTCCAAATACACATCAGCATCCATCAGAATTCCCATATTTTTTTAGATTGTGTGCACACACTACCTACCATTCCATAGCTTCATCAAGGCCTGTTCCCTTTGTAGCTGATGTCTTAAAAATTTGCCACTTGCGGTCTTTTAAAGCTGGTAATCCCAGGGAGTTAGCCACTTCTGTGGGGGTCATTGCTTGTTCCATGTCTTGCTTGTTCGCAAAACACCACTAAGATAGCTTTTTTCAACTCCTCCTCCTAAAATTAAAACAGTATATGTTATACTATTTAGAACACAGATATAGCAGGAAAAAAAGTGGGGAATCGCCATTAGAGAATTTCTGCATATCAGTTAATTTTTCAGTGTCCATTTTTTTAAAAGTTTTTACCTTTCCTAGTACTAGGATCACAAAAGAACATTTTACTGAAATGATGCTGGTTAAAAAGTTCATTACAAATACCACTTTTAAATGTATAGCTGTTCTGGAACCCCTGCCTGCTCCATGAACTGTCTAGGTCTTTCAGTCTTCCGATGAGAACGAAGGGGCTTGTGATGTCGGGTGTACGGATCAGAGGCAACTTGGATCATAACTGGTCAGGCCCCTTGTGATGGCACATATGCCTGCTGTTTAAGTAACTATGTAGTGCTCTAGCAGCTACAGCAGCTGTTGAAGGCATCATTGCCAGTTTCCCTTACCAAAGATCTGCACCCGATGCCAACTGAAGAATTGGCTCAAGTGAGGACATCGCTGGATCTCTGGACATGCAAGTGTCCTTATATAAAAAGTCAGCAGCTACAGTATTTGTAGCTGCTCACTTAATTTTTGGGGGGCGGGGTCAGAGACTGGACTCCTTTTGAAATGCCGGTTCACATATATACAGATTGGATGTGGTTTTGAACCACATCCAATCCGCACCACATGTGAAATAACATTGATTCCTATGGTGCCTGTTCACATATGTCCGATGCACTGGCAGTACGGACTGAATAAGTCCTGTCCAATTTCTGAGCAGTGTGGTCAGGTTCAGCTGTGGGAACCGCACATGTCATGAGTTTGTGAACATGATTTCAGGCCGGTTTTCTCTCTTCAAATCCTCACCTGAACCTCTGAATGACTGCTTTTCAATTTGCACTGAAACCGTAGCTGCCAATCCCCACTGCACATATGGGAATCAGCATGGACTCTCTGTGGTGAATACTCTGATTTGTGAGAAGTGTGTTAGAATCCAGCTGCACCTCGCAAGGTCATTAGGTATACACATCATAGAATAAAGTTAAATTATTGAACTGTTTACCTCCAACATAGCAACCAGTTCAGACTTGGAGATACCAATCCTGTCTCTGTCACAGCTGTCCACCACATAAATGACAGCATCTGTATTGGAGTAGTAGCAACGCCAGTAAGGCCTGAAACAGAACACATTTTATTGTACTTAAGCTCCTCAACTAAACTAAAGTACAACACAAATTTTGTACCAAAAAAAACCCCACAAAACTTATAAAAGCAACTTCAGGTAACAAGGAAAGCAAATTCATTTTTTTTTTTTTTTTTTAAATCGAATGCAGATAGACATTGAAAGATTAATGATTCTGTATTACGCAGCCTCCTATTCAAACTTGGATATACACAAGGAAAAGGTTGTGGTGGGCGCAGGAAAAAGGTGGTATTAGCACCAGCAAACACACTCTGGAATGCAGCTCTGCTTTATGGTGCAAAAAGCAAGAACCCATTGCATTAGCTGAATGTAAACTTTAGGACACTGTAACCCACAGGATGAAGCTAAACTTTAGGCTATTGTAACACATAACAGGTTGAAGACAACCTCTAGGCTATTCTAAAAGACACGTTGAAGGTAAGCTTTAGGCTACTGTACAACACAGGTTGAAGGTATGTTTTAGGCTACTGTAAGCCATAAGCCATTAAAAGCGGTATTAAAGTCCAAAATGGAAAAATTGCTGACAAGCACAAGAGACCCAAAAGGTCTCTTCTGTTTTAAATGCCTCTTCTGTTTTAAATGTCTCTCCCTGCCTGTGAGAGGTAATGTGATCTGAGCCACACTTGCAGACCATCTTTACGACACTCGCTCTGTGCCATATTGAATGAATTCTGTGCACATGCATGAGAGCAATGTCATCATAGTCTGGCCAATCAAGAGGCTGGAAAGAAGGAACCTGGAAAACAGTGTTAAGATGGAACCATTCAGGACCTGCTGAAGCTGTGACACCACAGAGCTGGATGGCTCGGTTTGACAGGAAGGTCTGTCATAATGCACTAACATGCTATGCATGTTAGCACATTATGGCACAAACCGCCTGGGGGCCCATAAAAATAAAAAAATTAGTAGAGTTTAATATCTCATTAAATCAGCAGAAAAATGGGCATGCAGGCCAAAGCAAGCACAAAACATCCATTATATATAAATGTTATGTATTCGTGTGGTATGCCATTTATTTTGTATGAGTAGATCTACAATCTATTTGTATACTAAAAGGATTGCAAGCATGGTGACCAGAATATGTGTGTGTGCAAGAAATATATTTGGTGCAATTCTAAAAATAGAATTTTCCAAGTAAACTTTTCTCTGCATGTAATAAATTTCAATATTTTACTTGAGGTTTAGTTAAAGGTTTTTGATGTGAAACACAGAACTTTAACTAGTAAAGGGACCTTTCTTGGCAAAATGTGTAATATTGTTAAAAAGTTCTGCTTCAAAATGAAATTTGCTAACAAGCAAATTTTTAAAACATGGCCACTGTAACCCCAGTGTGCTTGTAAAAAGCCAAAAACAGAGTATAAGATAGTGTTTGTTTCTACTAATTTAGAGAAAATGCTGAATAACGGGCAAAAAGGGAGGGGACATCTGCACACTCTCAATCATGCTGGGACCCCCACGGTAAATAACTTGCCATTCTCTAGATGTACAAAATATTTTCACATGTGGTTACTTATTTCATGGGGGGGCAGAGAATAATCAGCCCTATTTAACAGACATTTTCAGACAAATAAGGCTGGCCATACATTATACTAATTTTCTTTAGATTTACCTTCAACTATGTAGAACAAGGGCCTACCTGATTGCAAACAAATTGAAAGTGTTTATGTTTGACCTCATAACACACACACACACACACACACACACACACACACACACACTAAATCTAAAGGAAAACTGAATAATGTATGGCCAGCCTAAGCGTGCCTGTGACACCAGAAGGGCTCATTTTCACCTTCTAGCTTTGCCTGAGGAGGTCAATTTGGGTTAGAATTGGGCCATCTATGGCTAATCGAAACACATTTTTTTTTCTCAGAAAAGATCCATAGAGATCATTTTCAATGAATAAAAAAAACAGAATAACAAAGAGGTACATATGTTTAAAAAAAAAAAAAAAACACACAATATACTTTGAAGGAAGTTGTGCATTTGTCAAGTAATGTAAGAGCATGCAAATAGTGTTCTAGAAAATGCAATCACTACCTGATACTTGTTTGTCCTCCCAAGTCCCATACTTGAAATTTTAGGTTCTTGTAAGTTACTGTCTCAACATTGAACCCAATTGCTGAAAAAAAGAAGTGCAGCTTTTACATAAACAGTTCTTGGATACAGAAATGTGGAAATGACCTTTAAAGTGGTAATAAGACCTCATTTTTTATTTTACATATATGTTCCATTTAAACATGTCTAAGCAATACGCCTAACTTTTTGTTGTGTAACTGTGTTTTTATAATATTTTTTTGGCTGTTTCTTATCAACTTCTGGCAGTATCCTTTGTATAGTGTCCCCTATCCTGTGTCGATCACATTGGGGTACCTGTGTACTCCCAGACATAGGATTACATCCTAACGACACCTGTGCTCACACACACAGGCATCCCAAAATCAGAGCACACCGCAACCCCACCTCCCATCAAATCGTCATGTGCAGAGCCTCTACACAATAGATGCCTCCTGTGCTGTGATGGACAGCTCTAGTTGTATCAGAAGCATAGACAAGGCAGAGAACAGACATGCCTAGGAGGTGGTGAATGGGAATGCCTGGGAGGCGGGGCCTAACGCTTGATTTCTTCAGCTCAGGGGGTAATTTCCCTCACATCAGCTTTCTTAAATACACCACAAAGGCTGCTGGGACATGCAGTCTTGAAAGTTGGGTGATGTAGTGCCCATGAGTGCACTCCTCCAGTCGGAAGTTATGAGTTCTGAAATAGGACCGATGAGGAAGCAGACTACACAGTATGGAATATACGATGTTTAACCCCTTGGTGCCGGCGCGTTCCGACCCTTTAAGGGTTTCAGAAGCCGGGAGGCGGGGCAGGGTTTTAGGGCCATGTGACCACCGTGATTCGCTGTCATGGCAGTCACATGATCAGGAAAGGTCCCGATCGAAAGAGGAGATTGGAACCTTTACCTGAGTATCAGACATGTGCTGGGAGCACTCTCAGCACATATGTTTTTCTTAATTGCACGCAAATGTGCAGCCGCTCATCGTCAAGGTCTAGACGCTGGGAGGGCACACATTTGTGTGCGGCCGGTGCGAAGAGGTTGAAAAATGTTTTATTAACTTATTAGTACTATACCTACTAGATATAATAACTGTAAAAAGATGTAAGGCTTTATAACCACGTTAGTATTTTTACCTTACTATCACTAAATGACAGAGCTTACAAAGGCCTGATGACTCTCTCTCCCTAACAACAGCCCTTGCACGCCCGACCCCAGATCTCTCATCCGGCCTCCGATTAGACACAGATCGGTCTGATTGGCTGCTTCACTGGCCTGTAACCAGCCAGTATACACAAAACCAAAAGTGACAAAATACTTGTTGCTCTTGGTTTCTTAGACTGCAGAGATGATCGGGGATCATTTCTATGGTCAGCCAGTGGAACCGCTGGCTGCAGTCCCTGGCAACCCGGTGGGACCCCCTCCTACCGCCTGTAAAAGTGATCCAGCAGCTAATTAGACGCTCGGATCACTTTTCATTTATTCAGCATCGACAGCTGGCCGTGGCCCTGATATAACCTCTGCAACTCAAGGACGTACTTGGGTGACAAGTAGTTAAGACTGCTGAATGAGCATACAATTACTTGAATTTCCTCCTAATTGCACTTGATACTGCTTTCTATATAATGAATATGTTCAGCTATCTCACACAAAAGGTTGACTTCTTGTCTTAATCCCAGCTAAAGCAGCAAACTGTAAAACAACATGGTACAGGTACATTAAATGACAAAAAAGTAGCAGAGGCCAGAATTACTTGGAATGGTAGTGACAACTTCTCCCACTTGTAACCTGTAAAGTATTGTGGTCTTTCCAGCTCCATCAAGACCCAGAATCAAAATTCTCATCTCTCGAGTTCCAAATAAGCTGGAAAAGATGCTGGAAAAGAAACCCCCTGAAAGAAAAAAGAAAACAGTTACTTATAAGCAATGCAAGAAATCTACTTATACAAATAATCGAAATGGAAATCCAGTACTGTACAGCTTAACGGCTTTAGCAACAATGCATTTGTAGAGAAAGCTGGTAAAGCAGTTCCAGATGTAAAAGTCAGTAGATGCTGACCCTAAGAGAAGATTTACCAGGATCCAGCATTCTCTAAAGCCTTGCTCACACTGGGAGCATTGTCAACACGAAAAATACTAAAAACTAAGTAAAACAAAGGGGTATATTTATAAAGCAGTGAATGTGACATTCACCAAACATTCAGTGCAGGTGATTCTTCCTGGTGCTGACTGTTGCTTAGGTTACAGCAGTGTCCCTGCACATAAAGCGAGAGAAATCTGAAATGTTACCATTGTCTCTGAAACAGGCAGCGACTGCAAACCTTTATCACCACTGCTGTTAAAGGTCAGATTCCCCCTAACCTTGGTGAAATTTCTTCCCACATCTTGTCTCCGAAATAGGAAGTGAGGGAAAATGTATCTTATTACATGCAATTAGGCCCCATTCACACTTGTGAATGGTGTCATTTGTGATTGCCCACAGGAGACTCAGTGGGGTTCCCTGTATTTAGTTGCAGGTAGAAAGCCCCACTGGGAGCAATGGGAGCCCGCCATCACCCGTAGCTATTCGTGTCCATTTGCATGTACTTACTCATGCTCAGCTCTTGGCACACATCATCAAATGTCCCTAACCGAATGTAATCACTTGATATGAGATTACAAGTGGACAGCTACAGCCAGATGTCATTGATTTGTACAGGCTTACTGCTGATCACATAGGCAGGGGGGTTTTTACCCTTCCCGATGAAAAACAAAAATAGCTATAGATATACATCTGCTTGGAAATGGAAATCCAGGATAACCTTAACCACCTCCCGTCCGGTCATTGTATATAAACGGCCGGATGGTGGCACTGCAGGGTCAAGTGACTGTTTATAAACGGCCTCCCCGCCCCCTGCTTGTGTGTGCTCCCTGAGAGCGCGCAGCACCGCAATCCGGTGCTCGCTGTGTCCTCCGGACACAGTGGAACACCGATCATCGTACGGGACCTCTGTGCGAGGTCCCGATCATGTGATCACTGATTGGCCAATCAGTGATCACATGCAGAATAGTAAGCAAGATGTCACTTCTGACATCATTGCTTACTACGTGTGAAATCTGTGATGGTCACAGAGGTCACATGGTACAAGGCTGACCAATCACAGCTCACACAGTAGTTCTCAATGGCTGCAAGAATGCAGCCAGAGAGGAGAGATGATTGCTTTTCCAGCCTTTATGGGTGTAAAAGCAATCAGAGTATTAAAAAAAAAAAAAAAAAAAAAAAAAAAAAAAATCTTCATCACCCCCCACAAGTCGTACAGTGTCACCATGGTGACACTGTACTGCTAGGGTGACAATATGTAAAAAATAAAATAAAAATGTAAAAAAAAAATTTAAAATTATAATTTTTGGTTATACACTAATTTGGGTTTTTTTTTTTTTACTAAAAAGATAACGGAATACATTTTGGCCAAGATTTATGATGAAATATTTATTTGCAAAATTTTATAACAAACACTTTTTTTTCAACATTTTTGAACTTTTCATTTACATAGCAAAAAAAAAATCCCAGTGGTGAATAAATACCACCAAAATAAAGCTTTATCTGTCTCAAAAAAATGCTCAAAAATTCATATGGGTACAGTGTTGCATGACCACACAATTGTCAAAGTGTGATAGCACTGAAAGCTGAAAATTGGCCTGCACAGGAAGGGGGTGAAAGTGTCCGGACTGGAAGTGGTTAAAGTGGCTGTAAACCCTTACACATACCCAGTGAAGCGACTGGTGTGAGGTGATACACAGAGATGAAACAGATCCTCCTAAATTAGTTGTATCTGTTTATCTGCAGCCATCTGTCCCTTACACCCATTCAAAATGCAGAATTTGCACAGGATCTCTCAGCTCTGAAAAGCAGGGGATGGGGAGCTAACCTTACACTCCTCCAGGAGAGCTCAGAAAGCTGATTGGAGGGAAGGGACACACCCTTCTTCACACAGAACACAGGAACAAAGCTGAAGCTGTCATTCTGCAAGAGGTCCCTCTTCTGTCACCATTTTTCTCTTGGTGTCAGGAAAACTTGTCAGAAGTGACTCCTGCTGATAGCAGAGAAATGAGGCTGCAGACAGAAATGGTACTTGGTGCTCTGGATTGAGACAAGTACACACTATAGGGGGATAGGCTTTGTTCATATTTCATGTCAGAGCTTTACAACCACTTTAAGTGTAATATCTATAAAAACACATTGGATGAAACTAACATTTTAAGAACTCTGAAATAATAAAGAATATGGAAAGGATAAGTCATCTTAAGCACTTTATCTAATAATCAGCGGAGGAATGTTACCTCTTCAAGTCATCCTTAAGTTATATTTTAGAGAGTGGTTACATTGTGCATATGCAACAAGTCCACACAAAACAGTTATCTGAATACCCAGATAAGACAGATATTTTGACCTAGATAAATTAAATGTACTATCTATGCTTTCTTAATCAGCAAAGGATAGTAGATATGCTTTTTCATTTTTCATGTCTGAGGTTTACAACCACTTTAACTACTTTTAAAACTGTCTCCTCCCTGTTCCTAACACCTATGCCTGCTATCCTGCGTAAGAAAGAGGTCTTCATGTACCTATTTTCAGGCCACTCTGGTCATGTGATCTGACTTCCCTTTGTCAGTGAGCTGCTGCAGGGGAAAGGAAGTAGTGCTAATAACAGATGGACTACAATAAGGCTATGGATTATGTCACCGCTGCCAGACATTACCAGCCATTGTCGGAGTGCTCCCTTGTAGTCACCATTGGCTGACATAAGGAATCATGTGACCGGTGTGCATACAGATGTTTCTTAGGCTAGGCTCACACCTATGCAGTTTGCATTTGATACGTTTCTGCACAAGCGTTTTTGCCACGTTTTCCATTTTTTTTCTTGTTGCTAAACAGATAAAAAAGCATCAAAAACGCATTACATACTTTTCTGCAGCGTCTCCATTGAAGTCTATAGAACCAAGTCCCTGACCCTTTCTAAAAAACGCACCTGGTGAAAACACAGAGACGTGAATGTGTCCCATAGGAAATCATGTTAAATGGACTACACTGCGTTTCTGGAAAATGCTTAGGTGTGAACCTAGACTTAGTGCTGGTTCATATATATGCGGATTGGATGCAGTTTGAGCCACATCCAATCCACATGACGTGAAAAAACATTGCTTCCTATGGTGCCTGTTCACATACGTCCGGTGCACTGTAGTGCAGATTGAAAAAAGAGTCCTGTCCAATTTCTGAGCAGTGCCTTCAGGTTCAGGTGCGGATTACATACTATTGAATTTTATGGGAACCGTTTCTAATCTGCACATGTGTGAACAGGATAAGATCCTGAGCTAATCCTGTCCTGAACCTGATGTAAACCTGACTTGAACCTGTGAACAACTACTGTATCTATTATCTGTGAAACCTGAGCTTCAATCCACACAAAACATGTGTGAATCAACTCTTACAAAGGTTAGTCAGCATAGGTGTTAGGAGAGGAAGGGGGCAGTTTTAAGACTAGTTAGGTTTAGCCTGGATTTTCATTTTAAAGTGTAAGTTAACCTTTTGCAGAAAATCTGTAAAGTGACCCTACATTGGACCACCTCCCCCCCTGGTCCCGCTGTATCAGTGTCCTGCGATCTCCTGCAATCAGGCACCATAACCCCCTTCACCATTCTGAGGATTTGACGTCCTCTCCTATTAATCTCATATCCATACCTCTCAGTGTGTACAGACAAGAGGCATTCTAATGGGTCAGCACCATCACTTGGATGGCTTTGACCAATCAGAACCTGTCTAGACAGTCCTGTCAGTGGTGCAAGGAGAGAAGAGAAAGCTAGATGGATTTCACATCATCAGACCGATGAAGCAGCGTCCCGATGCCTGACAGTGGGGGATCGTACGGGGGGGGGGGGGGGGGGTTCCAGTGTAAGATCACCTTATAGATTTTCTGTAAAGATGAACTTACACTTTAACCACTTCAAGTCCGAACACTTTTACCCCTTTCCTGTCCAGGCCAATTTTCAGCTTTCACTGCTATCACACTTTGAATGACAATTGCACTGTCATGCAACACTGTACCCATATGAATTTTTTAGCATTTTTTTGAGACAGATAAAACTTTATTTTTGGTGGTATTTATTCACCACTGGGACTTTTATTGTTTTTACTATATAAATGAAAAAGTCCAATTTTTTTTTTTAAAAAAACGGTTTTTCTTCTAAAATTTTGCAAATAAATAATCTTTCTTCATAAATCTTGGCCAAAATGTATGCAGTTATCTTTTTAGTAAAAACAAAATAACCCAAATTAGTTTATAACCAAAACTTATAATTTTTTTCCCAAAAATGTTTTACATTTTTATATTATTTATGTTTTTTTTTTTTTTTTACATACAGCCACCCTAGCAGTACAGTGCCACCATAGTGACACTGTACTACTTGTGGGGGGTGATGAAGATTTTTATTTTTACACAGTGCCATTGACCCACTAACAGAGCGAAAATCGGCCGATTATTCTTAGGTCTGATTTTCGGACTAAAAATTGGTCAAATTTCGACCCATGTATGGCCGGCATAAGGCTTATAGTCCTGGGGACAGAAGAAATAAAAGTGATTTTTCAGTATATCCTAAGGTTGTCACTTCATCCCTTTAAAAGGAACACATATTAACCCCTTGATGCAGATGTCACACAAATATGTGGCCTCACGGAACTGGGCTTTTTTCTGTGGGGCCACATATTTGCGTACCTGTCTTTGTGCTGGGGGTGCGCTCCCAGCACAGAGACTGTGGTGTCACTGAGAGCCCCGGGTCCTGTTCTAACGATTGGGACCCGGGACTCCCGATTCCGGGTCATATGATTGGCTATCGCAGTGATCAGTCACTGTACAGCC